ATTTATGGGCTAATTTTCATTTTTGGGTGAACTAACTCTTTAAGTACAGTGGCATTCTATTTACCTCAGCCTGTCCCTCCAGCCGAAATGAAAAAGGGATTTTACAGCTTCTACATTCTTATCAATACTTCCTCAGCACAGACCATTTATATGGTTTGCCTTCAAGGGGCAGGCATATGAGTACAAGGTCTTCTCCTTCGGGTTGTACTTGTCTCCACTGCCCTTTCCCTCTTGAGGGAAGCAGGCATTCACATCCTTAACTACCTCAATGACTGGCTAATATTAGCTCACTCAAGAGAGTTGTCATCTGCATACAGGGACATGGTCCTCGAGCACCTAGCCCAGTTTGGACTTCAGGGAGACTTCAGTCAACTGGGAGAAGATCAAGCTCTCCCCTGTGCAGTGCATCCCTTTTCTCGGTGTGAAGCTGGACTCCGTCACAAAGAAGACCGTGCCATCCGGCACTTCAAAAGAGCAATTTCTGAGCAAGTTTCCTGAGCAGATTTTCATCGGCATTGTTTCAAATGTCATGTCGCAAGTGTAGCTCAATGGGCACAGTGAGTGCATCGCTTGTCTGGGCATCGCCCATGCTGCGCTCAGCGAGACTTCATGCTCTTATTGTGAGAGAGATCGCATTCTTTAATGAAGGCGGTTGTCCCCGCTCTACTCCCCCCTTTCCTTTCTCTCCTAAGAGGAAGAAACAGCGGAGTAGCGGGGCTCAGCCATCAGGCTCGAGTGGAATCACGTCAGCTCAGCGCCCGCGTGCTTTGTTCTCCCCGCAGTGCCTCGTTTCGGTGGTGTGTTTCACACGTGAGGATCAATACCCCTTGTCGGCTGCGAGTAGCTTGATTTCCTTCGGCGGTTCTGAGGAAGGGATGGCCACCGACGACTCCATGTCTTTGACAGCATCCAATGCTGAAGAGTGGGCGTGTTTTGGCGAGAAGCCCGAAGCCCCCTCTCTGTCTCAGTCTGCACGACTGAGCGTGGATAGTGAGCTGATTCATGTTCTGTCCAGGGCTGTGGAGGAACTCAGCTTTGAATGGATAGCCCCGGAAGAGCCCATCCACAGCCCCCTCGACGAGTGGTTCTTAAAGGGACATCGTCAACCAGACATGGCGAGCCCCGTATTTGGCCTGTGTGAACCCTTCCACTGCAGCTGCTCTCACCACCATTGATGGCACTGAGGAAAAGGGGTATAGCAAGCTTGCCCCTCTTGAAGAGGCGGTGGCTGCTCACAAGTGTCTACCTTCGGCTCGCGGATTCAAGACTGCAGTGCATCCATCCAAGCCCTGCAGGATGACTTCCGCTCTAGCCAATAGGGCTTATGCAGCAGCTGGTCAGGCTGGCTCAGCCCTGCATACTATGTTGGTGCTCCAGGTGTTTCAGGCCAAACTTCTTTGTGATTTGGAGAGGTCTGACCGGGATCCTAATGCCTTCAAAGAGCTTAACTTTTTGTTAAGCTTTTTGGCTTAACTTAATGGAGATCAGGAACGCTGAGAAAATGGCTTTCCTCGACTCCCCGGTCTCGCCCAAGGGACTGTTTGGCCCTGTTGTGGATGGGTTTATGGAGCATTTCACTGAGGCACGAAAGACTTCGCAAGCTCTGCGTCATTTCCTGCCTAAGAGCCCCAGCTCAGCGGCTGTTGCAAGTCGCCCCAAGACCTCATCCACTCAGCAGCCTGCGAAGCCGGCGCTGTCCCAACCCCCACCAAAGCCGGAGCCGGGGCTCCAACAGCTCCCCCGGATGGCCCCACCCTCAAGTATTGCTGGACCCTGAGCCTCAGAAGCCGTCCTGATCTGCGTGCAGAGAGGAAGAGGAGAGGGCTAGTTCTTGCCAAGGCCGGAACTCCCTCGAAGAAAGCTTGCGATCATTTCCCACCTCTTCGAACACTTCTGAGCAGTGGAGGTTTTCTAGCCAAACAAGTCCAGCAAGCTCAGCACGTACCTAAAAAAACTACTGCTGTGATAGCGGAGCCACATACTCAGAAGAGCAATTCTCCTCTACCTCTAGTCACGAATGTCAGTTCCCCGTCTCAGCACGATGAACTGTCATTGATAAAAATAGAACCGGCTTTCGTGAGGAAAGCCATTCTGGGCATGTCAAATTGGACTGGTTTCTGTCTGTGGACCTGAAAGATGTGTACTTTCATTTCCAAATAGCCCCCCGACACAGACCGTTCTTGAGATTCGCATTTGAG